TGGTGAGGAGATTGAGATAGTTAACAGTTTTAGTTTACTTGGTTCCACAGTCAACACTCTTGGTAACAGCAGCCAGGAAATCAAGAGACGAATTGAATTGTATTGGGAAAGTCAGCTGTGAGGGACCTCTCAAGAGTACTGAAGAGCAACGACGTCAGGCTGGAGACTAAGGTGCGCCTGATCGAGGCTATAGTCTTCGCAATTACATGCTATACGTCAGAGAGTTGGACAATGAATAGGGATGATAGAAAGAGAATTGATTCCTTTGATCTGTGGTGCTGGAGAAGAGTGTTGAATATATCATGGACTTCTAGGAGAACAAACAGGTTTGTCCTGGAGAAGGTGAAGCCGGAATGCTCCTTGGAGTCAAGGATTCTGAAGCTTCATCTGACATACTTTGGGCACGTTGCAAGGAGGGACTGACTGGTCCTTGGAGAGGGACATTATGTTTGGCAGAGTGGAGGGGCGGCGCAGGAGAGGAAGACCGTCAATGAGATGGATCGATTCTGTGACTGGAGTGGTGGGAATGAATGCGTTTCAGATGGCTAGGTTGGCACAGAATAGAACGGTGTTTAGAGCTCTTGTACATAGGGTCACTATGAGTCGCAAGTGACTCAATGGCATATAACAACAACAACAACAACTAGTAATTACTAGCATCATGAGTAATATGTTGGCCTATTAACAGAAAAGCCTCAAGTTAGAATCATCAGCATCTCTATGAGGGAAAAAGCTAGGAGGTCTCATGTACAACCTGGAAACCAATGACGAAGTTACCATGAACAGTGGTTGTGGTTTTTGTAAATTATTAGAAAACTTCTTAAGAGATTAGTTCACCCTCTATTCCCAAACGGTTAGCATAAGGAGCAAAAAGAAACTAAAACTTAAGACTTCCGGCACTCAGTGAAGTATTTCCTGAACACTTCCAGCACAGAAAAAAAAGAATTGCTTATATTCCAGATTTGTGACCACTTATCATCTTTCACTATGCTGTTGAAGTCTCTTCTATGTCTGATTCAGATGTGATCTTTCAATAATAACTTGGTATGTGTCTGAAGAATGGCAGAAGGTGTCCTTTGAACTGTGGTGTAAAGAAGAATAAGGAATATCTTGTAGACTGCCGAAAGAACAAGTAGATATTTCTGGGAAAAGGTACAGTCAGAGGGCTTCTTGGAGGCAAGGGTGGTGAACTTCATCTCTAATACTTCGGACATATAGCTAGTATTCCTCGGGGTCAATGGAAGAGAGGAAGTCCCCAGAGAGGTGGATTGACACGGTGACTGCATCAATGGACTCAAGTGTATCAGAGATGACAAGAATAGCACAAGATAAGAAATGCTTTAGGACTGTTGTTCAAAAGAATCGCTATGACATCTAATAACTGCTCTCATGGGAAGGATAGACAAAGAAAGCAGAGAACTACACTTCCCAGGACGCCCCGCTTCCGCACGCAACAAGGACTAGACGTCGCTCCCATGGCAACCTGGGAACCCTCCCCGAAGCTCCAGGCTCAGAAGGAGATCGCGGATAAAGCTTTCTGTGCTGGGCCTATGCGGGGCCTAGAGGAGCAGGACCGCGATGTCCAGGTACTCCGCTTCCAACCTTCCTTGCTCCGGATTTGCGCGTCTCTTGAGAGCCTCCCTTTCCCCCATCCCACTCTACGAGGAGCAGGGAAGTGAGTAACTCCGGGAAATGGTTCTGGAGGCAGGAGAGCCCACGCCGGACCTAGGACTGGTGGGGGCTCTGAGTCCGAACGCCTGCACCCCTGGTCTGCATGATCTGAGGTCCCTAACAGTTGTCCATCAGCAAACCACGAACTGTTCCTAAAGAAAGGGCTTGGAAAGATCATCAAATTCATCCATTCTCTAGTTTAAGAAAAGTTTGTTAGTGGCAAGAGATTGTTCTGGGACCGGGGGCTGCAAAGTTGAACCGACCACAAGGCAGGATTCCTACACTCCCAATCCCACCCCGCCCCTCCTCCGGTGCGCGGGAGCAGTAAGTAGAAACCTACGAAAACACCGGGGAAGGTATAAAATCGCGTTTAAAAAGAAGGGAAAGGTGCATTGTAAAATCGATCTTTAGAACAGAGTGAAGTGGGCGTCATTTAATTTCTGTGAGGTCGGTTTCATTGTCTCAAGACACCAACATACCCCTCCACCTCCCACCCCCACCCGTGGGCAATAGCTAGAACTTAACTCCTAACCAGTAAACACTAACCTGTGTTGGCGGGCAAAGAGGAGGCTCAGTGGGCAGTAGTTAGAACTTGACTCTTAACCAACAAACAGGAACCCGTGTTGGCGGGCAAAGGGGAGGTCACGGGCAGTTAGAACTTGGCTACAAATCCACAGACACTAAGCCGTGTGGGTGGGCAAAGACGAGGCTGTGGGCAGTAGTTGGACGTGACTCCTAACCAGCTGGCTCTAACCCGTGTAGGTGGACGAAGGGGAGCCAGTGGGCTTCTGTAAAAATCTCCAGCTTGGGAACGTTGTGGGCAGTTGTGCCCTATCCTGGAATGTCCTCTTTAGTATTGGTCAACTCCATGCCAGTGACTTGGTTTAATTTTGGTTCTCAAGAGACGTATTAAATCTCTTGAGGACACTTTGTGGGGAAGTCAAGGAAAGGACGCAGGAAGTCTTATCACAAAGCAGAGCAGATGTTTCTCTACTTTATGGCCAGCAGTGTGGAAAGAACTGTCCACTTCCTATCACATAATAGTTGGTTACAGTTTTGCTCACAGTTCCACATTCCCACAGGTTGCATGCCTGGCTGCAGCACCTGCTTTTCTCTGCCAACAACTTAGAAAGCCAGTGGTGACATTTTGAAAAGATGGTGTGTAAATAAGTAGATATAGGGCTACATGTACTAGACTTGTTGGTACCTAACAAGGATCCAGGGCCCACTTTTGAAATAAACATCTGAGTTTGTTGTTAGCTACTAGGCCCTCAACTTGTGATGAAGCCGTGCAGAATGGGAATCCAGCTATTGAAACCTGTAGAGTTCTAATGACTGATGTTTAGTAGTTTGCCGAGCCTTCCTAGTCTTCCTTAGTCTGTAAGCTCTGCAGAAGCCTGTTTAGCATCACAGCATCTACAAGCCTCTACTGACAGGCAGCCCAGGAGGGCCCTTATCTGCAGATAGACCCAGGGCTCCTGCATGGAGGCAGAGGCCTGATTCACCATACCTGTTTCAGCCTTTTATAGATGCTTTCTTCATTCCTGGATCTTGAATAATAATTATGAACCCTCACTAAATTTTGGATAATTTCATTGACTAGGACTTCAGCTAAATAGATTCTGCTTTAACAGTCATGATCATCGCATAAAGTTGGTGTTCTTTTTGTTCATTTTAGAGGTGAAGAAACAGGTGGACCTGGAGGTTAGCACAAAGGGCATATGTGTTACTTAATAAATACGTGTTGAATTAATAAAGGGACAAAAGCCCTCAAAGGTATTTGCTCCCGATTTCACAAAATGAAACAGTAGAACATTCAAACTAGACCAATCAGTCCTCTTTTTTCTTGATTTTTTTTTAAGTTCAGTATTACAGTTTTCCTGTAAGTTTTAATAATAAAAACACAACTCTCCGTGTATAAAGTTACATACTCAATTCTCATTACTCTGGAGTCAGAACCCACTCATCACTGACTCCAGCAGGTTTTTGGAGACTATAAATTACACAGGAGTAGACTGCCCATCTTTATTCCTTGGAGCTGCTCGCAGAGTCAAACCTCCGGAGAGAGTTGGCGTTTGAGATACCAGCACACCTCCTTGTGCACAATGCTGTCAGAGCTCTCAGTGAAGGTGTAGCATCCACTTATTGCGGTCGAGTTGGAACCTCATAGCTGACCAGCAGATTTTGGGAGGCTCCAGATCAACCCGGAGGAGATAATATATGTTTCTTTCAGAGTCACTGTAGATTTGAACTACACTATAGGCACCGCCTTTGGATCAGCAATCATCAAACTATGCAGTACAAACTATGCCATCTTATGTTCATAAAAAGAAAAGATTAATTTAAATATTTGACATCCCCCTCCCTTTCTTCCTTGTATGTTAGTGGGGAAAGGCAGGATGTATGAGTTTACTATAATTTGGTAAACAATAGCATAAACAGATGTGTCAAGGAGATGGGATTATATGATACACTGGTGTTAGGCATTTCTTATTTTCCTGAATGATTTCAATGTTGGTGCTTTTCTGATTGTACATTTCTTTTTTTTTTTTTTTTGGTACATTTCTAAAAAGTCTTGTGTCTTCCTATGTTTCTGAGAACTATCACATAGCTGACCTATAAGCAACAAAATAAGATAACCTTAAATTCTGATGATAAGGGCTATTCTTATCACTCTCAGTGTCATTAACCATTACAAAACACATCCCAAGGCGATTAATCCACAGGTGCTTTAGCACCTTAGTGTCCCTTTGGGGGTACTATCCAAAATATTTTTATAAGAACTAAAACTGATGTAAAACTTCTCTAATATTGAAAGAAATACTTGGCCCTTTTTTTGTTGGCATTTTGTTCTTCTGTCTCATATAGTGAAACACTCTGGGAAATTGCAAAAGCTGAAGTGGAAAAGAGAAGAAACAATGGAAACGAGAGTGATGGAGTTGAAGTTGGAGAAAAAACTGTTTTCTTCATTGGCAGTAAAAATGGGGTAATGTCTTCCCCCCCCCAGTATTTTGATAATTTAATTAATGGCAAATGTTAATGCCTTTCTGAAAATTAAGGTACTTTAATGTTTTAGTCCAAAGTGTGCCTAATTCAGGCCACAGTCCTTTCAGTCACTTGCTGTGCATTTGAGAACTGGACAATGAATAAAGATGACAACAGGAGAATTGATGCCTCTGACTTGTGGTTTAAAAGAGTACTGAATATCCCATGGACAGCTAAAAGAACAAGCAAGTATGTCTTGGAAAAGGTGCAGCCATAGTGTTCCTTGAAGCAAGGATAGCGAAGCATTTTCTCTCATACTTTGGACATGTTGCTAGGAGAGGAACATCCTGTTCAGAAAGGTGGAGGATCAGCCAAAGAGAGGAACGACCTTCTCTTTGGTGTATTGACATGGTGGCTGCGGACTCAAGTGTATCAGAGCTGATGAAGATGGCACAGGGTTCCATAGGGCAGAATTCAAGTATGTTGTTCATAGGGTCCCTATGAGTTGTACTCAACTTGATGGCACCTAACAACAATTCTTTAGCCAGATGACTAGTCTCTGGCTTGCCATTGTAAGAGCTAGCCACATATCCAGTATGAGTGCACTCTCTGAAGGGGGAGTAGGGACTGACATTCATCCATGTTTCATGTTCTTTATCCTAATTTCTTAGTGATGCATAGTATTCCATTATGTGAATGTACCAGAGTTTCTTTAGCCATTCATCCACCGTTGGGCACTTGGATTACCTCCATCTCTTTGCTTTTGTAAATAATGCTGTAAAACACATGAGTGTGCATATGTTTGTGCTGCAGTTTATTTATTTGGGATATATATCTAGTAATGGGATTGCTAGTTCAAAAGCTATTTCTCTTCTCAACTTTTTTAAATTGAGATTTTCATGAAAGAGTATAGAGAACATGGATTTCCATTCATTCATTGTTATACATTTTCCTCCCTGCCCACCCCTTCCCCCAGTTCACTTTTCTGTTTGTAAAAGAAAAAAAATTCTTTCACTGTTATACAATTCCCACCCCAGCCACTTTACTATGCACCTCTTATTCTGGACTGTTGTCTTGCAAATAATACCTAAACATATATTCCTTTTAAGCAGCTCTCTCCCTCATCTGTTTCAATGCAGTATACATTATTTATCCCATCTTTTCTTAATTTCCTTCCAACCCTGATGTCAGTCCTGTTTTATAACAGTGGAATTATGCAGTATTTGTCCTTTTGTGACTGAGATACTTAACTCAGCATAATGTCCTCCAGGGTCACCCATTTTATATAGTATATAATGAGTTCCTTGTTTTTCAGTGTTACATAGTATTATATTGTGTGACTATACCATAGCTTCTCTATCCATTCATTTGTTGATGGGCATTTGGGTTGTTTCCATCTCTTTGCTATTGTGAACAGCACAGTATAAACATGGATGTGCATATATCTGTTTGGCGGCAGTTCTCGTTTCTTTAGGGTATATTCCCAGTAGTGGAATTACTGGGACAAATGGTATTTCTATTTCCAACTTTTTGAGAAAGTCCCATATTGCCTTCCAGAGTGGTTACATCATTTTACATTCCCACCAACAGTTGATAAGGGTCCCAACCCTTATTCTCTACAACCCCGCCAGCATTTTTTGTTTGCTGCTATGTTGAATTTTGCTATTCTTACTGGGTGAGATGATATCTCATAGTTGTTGTGTCTGTTCTCAACTTTCTTTTCCTTTTTTTAAAATTTTATTATATTTTGTGTGTGTGCCGTCAAATCATATCTGACTGGTACAGGAGGAGATTGTCCCTCCTTCTCCAGCAGAACATCTGGTGGATTCGAACTACACACCTCTGGGATTGCAGTGCAGCTTCTTGCCATTAGGCCACCAGAGCTCCCTTGTTCTCAACTTTCTAAGGAAGCATGTACTGTCAAAAGAATAAACAAACATGTCTTGGAGAAAATGCAACCAGGGTGCTCCTTGGATGCAAGGATGGTGAACTTTGTCTCACATAACTTTGGGCATATTATAAGGAGGGGCCAGTTCTTGGAAAAAGACAACAGTCTTATGCACACCCATGTTTATCATGGCATTGTTCACAATAGCAAGGAGTTGGAAGCCTAAGTGCTCATCAACAAACGAATGGATAGAGAAGCTGTGGTATATTCACACAATGGAATGCTGCGCTGCATTGAAAAACAAGGAATTCATGCAATATTATTCAAAATGGGTGACCCTGGAGGACATTATGCTGAGTGAAGTATCTCAGTCACAAATGGACAACATAGTGCCACTGTTGTAAAACAGACTGACATCAGGGTTGCGGGTAGACTGAGAAAGATGGGTTCAATAATGTATACTGCTTTGAAACAAATGAGGGAGAAAACTGTTTAGAAGGGATATATGATTAGGTAGTTTTGTCATGACAGGAGTCCAGAGCAAAGGCTGAATAGTGGAGTGGACCAGGGGGGAGGGATTGTAAAACAATGAAATAATTTTTCTTTTACTTTTCCAAGAGGGGAGTGTACTGGGTGGGAGGGTTCGGAGAGGAGAAAAGTGAAACAATGAATGAATGGAAATCCAAAATCTCTGTAAGTTTTCATTGACATTAATAATAAAAAAAATTTTAAAAAAAAGACAAGTCTTGATAAGCTGGAGAGTCCTTGAAAGAGAGGAAGACCCTCAATATGATAGGTTGACAGTGGGCTCAAGTATGTCAGAGATGTTGAAGATGGCACAGCACAAAGCAGGTTATAGATGTTATTAGGGTCTGTTCATAGATGCTATTTTATGGAATCATTAAGGGTTATGATCTACTTGATGACATGTAATAACAATGAGAATAGTGTTCTCTGATTTCAGCCAAAATCTGTTTGTCATTGGCCTCTTGTGAATCCAGCTTAAATTCTGACAGTGTTCAGCCATTTATCAATAATCTTGAGCAAGATTTTACTTCCATGTGATGTTAATGATTTTAAAATTATATTTATATTTATTTATATATGTTTATTATATGTATTTATAATATAAATATAATAGAAAACGTATTTCATGTTCTGTTGGATCACTTTTATTTTCAAATCAGAGCAAAAATGGATCTCTTCCAGGTCAGGTAGCTGACATCCAAATTTCTTGGCATAAGTTAGCAAGCACATCCAGAGATGCATCTATTTGTTGAGACACTTCATTTGATAGTTCATCAATTCTTGGAACCTTATTCTTTACCAGTGTCTTCAGTGCTGCTTGAATTTATTCCTTTTTTACCATTGGTTCTTGATCATCTGTTGTTTCCTGAAGTGCTTCAGTGTCAAACCAATTCTTTTAGGTACAATGACTATGTATTCCTTGCATCTGCTTTTGATGCTTTTTCCATCATTCAATATTTGGCCCATAGACTTCTTCAACTATTGCAACCTGAGGCCTGCGTTTGTTTTCATTTCTTTTAGCGTAACAAATGCCAAGCATGTTCTTCCTTTTTGGTTTTCTAAGTCTAGGTTTTTGCATATATTTTTTATGTCTCTTCTATCTATCTATCTATTTATTTAATTTATTGTACATTTTCTTTCTTCCCTTTTCCCCAGCCCACCCAGCAGTGCACCCCTTGTTCCAGATTGTTGTCATACTTAAAATGCCTATTCCTGGTTCTTCCCCTGCTCTGTTACTCTGCAGTGTGTCTTTTGTCTTCTTAAGCTTTGAAATCTTCTGTTCAGCTCTCTTTCTTCAGGATTCTTCCCTTGGTTTTGGCCTCTCCCTGCTTAGTGCACAGTTCAGAGTCTCTTCTGACACCCTTTCTGGTATTTTCTTTCTTCCATGTTTTCCAAATGATCTTTGGCTTGTTTCATAAGTGTTGTCCTTTATATAGTCCTACAGCTCATCTGAAGTCATTAGTATTCATTGCATCAAATCTGTTCTTCAGTTGGGGTAGACTTAAGATCATATTTATGTTCTCATGGAATTATTTTCATTTTCTTTTCACTTTCAGTTTGAACTTACACATAAGTTATTGACAGTCTTTTATCCACATTCAGCCCCTGACTTCCTATTGACTGCTAATAATGAGCTTCTCCATTAACTGTTTCCAAAGATGTAGTCAGTCTGATCCCTATGTTATCCATCAGGTAAAGTTCAGATATATAGTCTCCATTTATGTTTTTAAAAGTTGTTGTTGTTAATTGCCTTCGAGTTGAGCACGACTCATAGCAACCCTATGAACAAAAGGCCTGAAGCCCCTCTGCAACAATTGACATTTATCTAAGGTATTTGTAATTAATCATTCATTTTATAAAATTTCAGTCTCCAACTTCATTTATGTCACCAAGGACAAGTACTTCTTTACTTGCCAAAAATAATAGCAGAAAGATATTTACTTATGTATTATTTCTTATGCAGAGGCATTAGGCTTTGTGGATCATAACAAATTATGGATGACATTGAAAAAAATGAGAATCCCAGAACACTTAATTATGGTCATGTGAAATTTATGTGTAAAGAACAGTTGTCTAAATAGAGCAAGGGAATACTGCATGGTTTCAAATCAGGAAAAATTGTATCCTTTCTCCCTACCTTTTCAGTCTGTATACTGAGCAAATCATTTGAGAAACTGGACTGTATTAAGAATAATGTGGCATTAGGACTGGAGGAAATCTCATCAGCAATCTGCCTTATGCAGATCACACAGCCTTGCTTACAGAAAGTGAAGAGGACATGATGCGCTTATTGCAGAAGATCAGAGACTAACCCCATGCTTCAATATGGGTTACAACTCAAGCTTCAAAATCAAAACTCACCACTGGGCCGAGAGGCAACATCATGATAGATGGAGAAAAGACTGAATTTGTCAGCAATTTAATTTTACTTGAACTTAGAATCAACATTAAAAGTAGCAGCAGTCAAGAAAGCAAAAGATGAGTTCCATTGGGAAAACTGCTGTCAAGGACCTTTCTTCCAGAATGCTAAAGAGCAAGAATGTCAGTTTAGGCCGTTGGCGCTGCGAGGACGCGGCGCGAGGACA